TAGATTACTCTTACCCCTAGAAACTAGCTTACAGGTCCCTTTTCTTCTATAGTATATCTTTGCTTTAGAGCTTAGATAACTTTATAAGCTTAGCTTGCGTAGTTTTAGTAATAGAGTAATAGGATATTATCTATATAGAATATTAACAAGATACTGCAATCTCTATTAAAGAATAGGCATAGCTCCTCTTTAGAAGTAATAAGCTTATTTTCTTAGAGTGTAGTTAAGAGCTTATTATACTATAATAATAGTAAGTCTTTTAGTCTATATAGAGCTTGTTTAAGCTTAACGCACTTCCTAGGTATTTAATATCCTTTAGGTAGCTTATAGATAACTATAGGGTGTTAATCCCTTAAGGCGTTAAGGAAAGCTCTAACAACATTATATTAATATATCTTAAGGTTAAACTTAGCTCTAATAGCTATTATAGTCCTAAAGGTTTAAGCTACTAGGGTAGCTACGTAGGTTAAATAAATTAAGTTAGTAAGCTATAGATCTCCTTTTACTACTATCCTTGCTTTGCACTTAATTAGGTAACTATCCTAATTAAGCTTATATGTAAACACCTATTTAAGTAGGAGTAGACGCTCTCCTTTAGTTAGCCTATTAATCTCCTCCTAGGTACTAGCTTTTAGCAGAGTATTAATTTCTTAATATACTGCGTCTCTAAATTACTATCCTATTTAGTAGTTATAGAGATCCTTCTATTATTTTAGCTCCTTTTATAGAGCGTCCTAGTGCGTATTTCTTTTAGGGTTTTTAGGGGATTTACTCCCTATTACTACTATAATTATAGCGTAGATTATAGCGTTTAGTTTAGGATATACTAAAAGATTATATAAGGGATTTCTAATTAGATCTATATCTAATAGATCTATTACTATATATATCCCTATACTTATAGAGCCTCCTAGTAGTTTATTAGGGCCCTATCCCTAAGCTTACTTACTAACACGCGTTAGTAGTAGTCCTTTAACTTATAGTTTTCTACTTCTTCTAGGAGCTCTAGGTGCTGCTTATAAGGGATCTATAGGAGATATAGAATCTAGTCCTAAAGTAGGTAGGTAGGAGCTCTACTTACCACCCCTATAAGAGCTAGATAGGGTACTCTTACCTATCTCTGTGCTCTTATAGAGTGACCTACTAATAGCACTCTCCCCTCTAGGTCTTTCCTAGGAGCTACCTATTATAGCGTTAAAGTAAGTTAGATTACTACTATCTTAGGTAGTAAGACCCTAATCTATAACCTATATAGATCCTTTATCTCCTATACTAAAGTTTAGTTCTAGTATTAGTTTAGGAGTTTAGAGCCTTATTAGCTTAGGGGACTTTATATAGATCCTTTATACTAAGCTAGCTATACTTAGTACTTACGCTAGAGGTGTCTGCTTAGGGGGTTATAAATCACTAGGCTAGCTAGCCTAATTATCTACCTTCTCTAGCTCTACCCTACCCCCTAGCTCCTGCGCTAGGTTTAGTCCTCCTTACTTACTAGACTCCTTATATTACTCTACTATAATATAAAGCTAATTAAAGATATTAAGCTCTTTATATACTTCTCTTATATTATAGATCTTATCTTTGCTAATAATATTAACTATCTTTTAAGCCTCTAACTATTAAAGCTACTCTAGATCTTTTTCTTTATAAAAAAGATCCTTATTAAAGGTAATATTTAGCGTTATAATAATCTAATTAAGTAAGGGGATCTATATCCTATATATATTAGATGCTCTATATCCTACTAGATATCTAATATAACCCTAAGGGTTTACCTTAAAAACCCTCTTATAACGCCTAGCTACTTAATCTCTATTAAGGGGGTAAGCTTAATAGCTATAGGCGTATATTCTGCTCTAATTAGGGCAGAGATTAGTAGTTACCTCCCTTATCTGCTCTAGTTACTACTACCTAAAGTATCTAGTAAACTAACAATCTAGCACTTTATTAGGTAATATTATATTATAAGTATAGGACAGGCTTATATTATAGAGCTAAGTTGCTACTTTAATAATTTTAGGCTAGAGCTTTGTTAGTAGGTTAGCACTAATCCTTATTTTAATTAATTTTGTTATAATCTCCTGCCCTACTCTTTCTACTCCTCTATTAGGTTTATAGGTATATATAGGTAAGCTCTTAATTTTAATACTATTATTAGCTACCTAGATCTAAAAATAAGATTTGCTATACTAAGGGAGCGTTATAATATTATTATCTTATATAATCTTAACTATACTAAGCTTATATTAGTTAAGTATTTAGCTCTTAAAATTTTTAAACACCTATATAATCTTATTAAGGTTTTTAGCTTGCAGTAGATAGGTATAAAGCTTTCCTAAGTAGTCGCACTTTAATACTAAGATCTATTACTTGTAAGCTATACCTGTTAGCATATTAAATAGATCCTATAATACCTAGTAGTATAGACGTGGTAATCTTTCCCTTAGTTATCTTAATATAACCTATTAGGCATGTGTAATAGCGCAGTGCTCACATTTGCTCCTAGGAGTTCCTTTAATCCTAATATTTATTACTAACTTAACTAGAGCTTTAAGCGCCTTAGGTCCTAAATAGCCTAATTATTAGTGCTAAAGCTCCTTACTATTATATCTTAGATAGGTTATCTAGGATTATTAGGTTTATTTAGGCACTATACTTTAGATTATTTAATAAGGGGTAGAGGGCTTATATTCTAGGAAAGTTAAGTTAAACTTGCGCAGTAACTTAGCTAATATAACGCTCTTTCCTAATACCTATCTAAACTATAAGGTAGTATCTAGCCTAAGGAACTAAACTCCTGCTTTAAGTAATTAAGCTTCTAATATAATATTTATATAAAAACCTTCTACTAACACTACGTTAGTAAGCACTAAATCTTCTGTTTTTAGACCTCTTAGTCTATTAAGAGTATTAGGGATTACTCTAGTCCCTCTACCTAAGATTAGAAAAGCTTAAGTTCCTGCTTTAACTATCTTATATTTAACTAATCTAAACAAGCTTTCTTCTAGGTAGCTTATATTATTAACTAGGTGCACTACACCCCTATTATTAAAGATAGTGCTCTTTAATAGAGCGTAAGCTTTAAAGTCTATAGTTAAATAGATCCTGTTTGTTTTCTCTACTATTAATATAGGGTTAATTAGTGCCGCCTAGATACTACCTAGATAGGTAATTATGCTTGCCTTACTACTATAATCTTGATTAATAGGATAGGACTTAATTAGAGCTTTTCTTAACTCTTTAAATTCTTAATTCCTATTAATCTTTTTCTTAATCTCTAATTATTAAGTAGTAGTAAGCTTATTACCTGTATTAGTCTAAGCTTTAATAATATTTTTATATTTAGGAGGTTTCTATAGGTAAGATCTACTATATAGGTATAAAGACTCCTTCTTTAGTTAATTAGAAGGTAGAGCTCCTATTATTGTAAACACTCTAGGACCTTTAGAGCTTAATCTTATATTGTTCTCTTAGAGAAGTAATAAATAAATCTTAGTAACCTGCAGGAGGTTATAAGTTAGCTCTCCTATTACTAACTTTTTAATAATCCTTTAAAACATAGTTTAACCCTAATCTAGTAAGATCCTAGTAGATAGAGCTTTAAGATAATCCTATACTATAAGCTATCCTTTAATATTAGGAACGTTATATACCTTAGCTTGCGTATATAGGATTATCTACTCCTTCTACTAGTAATTAGTATCTTATCTACTTATCTTTGCCTTAGCAAGATAAGATTTATACTATAATCTTGCTAGTATTATAGCATTTAAATTAGTTAGCGCTAGGTTATTATAGAGTACTTAGATAAGTGCTTAGAGGGTTACTTTTCCTTAATTAACAAGCTCTATATAGGCTAGGGTAAGGATCCCTTAATCTACTATATTATTAACCTATATAAAAAGGTTCTAGATTACTAATAACTTTAATACCTAATCTAATAAGTAGGCTTAGTACTAAGCTATTTTAAGTTTATACTGCTTGCTTGTTATATTAGATAGCGTAATATCTATTAGTATATTAGGCTTAATAGGTCTATTCTTAAAGTAGTTTTTAGCATCCTAAGCCTTAGGGTCTACCTCTACCTAGATCCCTTTAGTTAGGGTATAGTATCTAAATTAAATATACTAGGTAGGCTAGTTAGTTAATCTAGTAAGTAGGATATCCCCCTTTAGAATTTAGTTACTTATAGTAGAAAAGTAATAAGTAAGCTTCTACTTAAGAAATAGTATAAAGAAAGAGTAAAGCTTACTAGCTTAGTATCTAAGTTAAATAATACGCTTAAATAGATAGGATAATCTTTAATAAGGTAAAGCGTAAACTAGGCTTATAACTATAGAAATTTAGATTACTAAGGTTAGGAATAATTTAGGAGATAGATTATTAGATTATATCTACTATAATTGTACTTATATATATAGAGCTTTAGCTACCCTTACTAGAAGGTGAATAATTAGTAAACCTTCCTTACTAGAACTCCTGCTTTTTATTAGGCACTTAGCAGTAAGCTAGCAGTTAATTAGATAGTAGGTTATATAGGGGTATTAATTAGGGTTAATTAGATTAAGATGCTCCGTGATCCAATTGATATCCCTCCTGCAACACTTTTCTATATAGACGCGCACTCCTATATACCTTTAAGTTATATAGGATACCTTTTAGATGCCCTACCTACCTAAGTTATTACACTTAATAGGTAGTAATATTATATTATGTTAGCCTAAAGGAAGTAAGGTATAACGCATTATGTAGTAGGGCTATAATAAGGTATAGAATATTTTTTTTAAAGTAGAATTTAGTAATATAATAGATAATAGTGTAAGCTAGGCTTATAACCTATAGTTATAGTAATAGAAAAGTTATTTATTAAGGTAGAGGATTCTCTAGAAAGGAGAATCTAACTATATTACGCCATCACGCTTTCTACGCTAGTCCTAAAACGGGACATAAACAAACCCACCCGTGATTACCACCGGTCGGGCATAGACACTTCCTCCAACATGAGTTTCAAGTCTCTATACAAGGTGCTTCTGCATACCCTCGTATACAGTGTTTGAATAATATATGCAGCCCTGATTTAGTTTGAAACAGTTTTCCTTATACCAACAGAACATTGTCAAAACCAAGTGATCTTGATGTGTCACATTGCAAAAGAGGCATTCGAGGTTGTGGGTGTGATGTTCACAGAAGTGCCAAGCCACTAGGGCCAAACAGGACGCAACCTTGGAACGCTCCGCGGCTCGTCAACTACCTGCGGTAATGTGCAGTTTACTGTGTAAAACGCGGCCACAAATTGAATATTTCAAACGTGAAAAACGGAAGCCTTAGGCCCCTCCACATGCAGAGGTTGCAGAGACAAAGTCGCCTTTCGCTCTCTCTCTCACACACACACAGCGCTCTGGCCCACCTCCCAACTTCCCCTCCATCCAATCACCGCCCCACATCCTCCACTTGGTCCAACGCGCCTCCAAACCGCGCCGCACGCCAACTCCACATCTCGGGACCACAGCCATACACAGCCATCCCCACCCTGACACCAACAAGATGAACAACTACTCCTTCCTTGAGGCCAACGGGCAGACCCAGCCGCGACCACCTCCTTCACCTTCACAAGGCTCCGTCGCTGGCTCCCAGGTCAACGGCGCACAGCAAAACGGCATCCCAATGGTCAATGGATTGCACTCCGGCGGCCAGCAAACGGACATCAACCACCTGTGGGCCGTCGTCCAACAGTTGAGCCAGCTCCTGGAAGAGAACAAGGCCCAGACACAAGGCATCGTCAATGGCGTGGCTGCGATACAAGGGCGAGCAGCAGAAGAAGGCGGCCCAGTTGGTGTGGGCATGCGCGAGGTAAATGGCGAAATAAATGGTACATCCGCCCATCACACTCCTGGAATCCAAGAGAGGGATATCCCCTACAGAAGAAAAAGAAAAGAAACCCAAGCTAACAAGACACCCACCCAACAGCAGCAACCCGCACCGCCGAAATCTCCCACCTGCAATCCCAACTCACAACCGCAAACGCCACCATCGCCACCCTCTCCTCCGCAAACACATCGCTCTCCTCCCTCCTCACAGACTACGAATCCGCCCTCACCCTACTCCTCGACAAACTGCGACCCTACGCATACAACCAGACCTCTGCCGTCCTCGCAATCCACAAACACTACCAGACCCTGCTCGATCAGGAGCGCTCCACCAGTCTCGCCCTGCGTCTCGAACATGCAGAGTGGCAGGCGGGATTGGCACGCGTGGCGGAAACGGCGCGCGCGGCGCTTAGGGGGCAGAGCGAGGTGGAGGAAGGGTTGAGGAGGGAGGGGAAGGAGTTGGCGGAGGAAAATCGCGTGTTGAGGCGGATGGTGGGGTGGGAGGAGAGGGAGGGGAGTGATGATGAAGAGGAGGGGTTGCATTGATGCAATGGCTTCTCGGGGTCTATCTGGTCGTGGGTCTGGGTATGCATAGCGTTGGCGTTTTTTCTTCTTCTGTTTTTCTTCCATGGGGGATGATATTATGACAACATTTACGGATTGGGCAGCGCTATATTGAACGGGCAGGCGCTTGCGTACATAGTAAGAGGATCTGCAGTATAGCAGTAGCAATGAGATGAAAGCAAGAAAAGACACTCGCTGCACGAAGAAGAACCCCACAAAATGAACAAGTCGTTGTGTTACGTAGCGAGTGAAAAACAATTACCTCCACCTCCATACCCTCTTAGGCAGCTGGGGGCACGGTGGTACGATAACAGCTAAAG